AAACCACGTGCATATGGTTCATATCAGAGTGTTAATAGAAGTTATAGTATTTTACCATGGCCAGAGGAAGGGAGAATTCTACCTTTTTATTGCGAACATTTTATATTGCTTGTATTTTCCAAATAAAGATGTACGTGGGAATTACTTCTGTAATTAAAACTGTAGCTGAAAAGGAATGGGGGAACAAAAGCTTATGATGGAATTCTTTTTTAATACAAAGGTTCTCTGCATTTACAATGATTTGGTTAGGGACATTTTACCACTCTTATACACTATGACTGGAAATGAGAATTGTTGGTGTCGTGGGCAGGATTTAAAGATACACTCATCATTGCACATAGAAGGGTCTTCCCCCCAACAACATGGTTTTGGGTATGAGAGCCTTAAGTTGAAGGTCAAGCTGACCAGAATTCCTGAGCTCCTGCCCTCTTGATTTTCTCACCAGCTGACTGTAAGGAGTGGTGGTCACTCTGGGAAGCATAGCCACAAAGCCAGGGGAAATCGAGGACTGTCGAGAGGGGCTGTTAGAAGGACTCTTGGTCAGTCCCACGTCTGTGTCTAACTGTGTCCACAGGCTCTCCCCCTAGATCTATGTCAGCTTCTCAGCCTTTTCCTGTCAGAATCCTTTAGGACTCTTCTTCAAGTTTTTCCCCAACTCCCAGTGAATTTTAATACCACATTTCGCACAAATGATAGGAGATCTTTTTCATGGCTGAATAATGTTCCATTGTGTGTATCTACCCTGCTTTTCTCTGTGCATTTACCTACTGATGAGCATCTAGGCTGGTTCCATGTCATGACTATTATGGATGTACACAATCATAATGTGTTAATCAAAAAAATTTAATGTTCAAGGAGATGGAAATGCTAACGAGCCTGACTTGATCATTGTACACTGCACATATGTATTAAATTATCACACCATACTCCATAAATATATGCAATCAAAAAATAATAATATATAAACATAAATACGCAATTAAAAATTTAATGCCACAGAGTCATTGTGTGTCTGTTTATGTATGATGGCACTTTGGGGTACGTAAATATAAATTCATGATTTTTTTCTCCTCCTCTAAGAACCAATTTTTGCTTTCTCAGGGAGAATCTTGCCTCTATTGAGAATTTGGGCCCTATGTGTATGGAGGATGTGTGCAAAGAAAACGAGAAGACCACTCCACTTTCTTATAATATTCCTAAGTGGTTTAAACTTGCACAAGAACCAAGCCTTACTGTCATGGAATAGAGCCTATTTTTCATGTGTGCATGTCTTGTAGGAATGCCAGAGGAGTAAAATCACAAACTTTAACTCAAATGCAAAGATAAGAAAGAAGGAAGGAAGGAAGGGAGGAGGGAGGGAGGGAGGAGGAAGAAACGAGGGAGGGAAGAAGGGAAGGAGGAAGGGAGGGAGGGAGGGAGGGAAGAAGGGAGAAGACAATAGGCAGATCTCTGAGAATGGGCACAAGCAGAAGTGGTTTGATTGACACCAGTCACAGCAGCTGTGACAAATCCCAGCAGACCCAGACTGCCAGGTCCCCAGGGGACACTGAGGAGTCCTGGTCCCACTAATATTTTCTCCTTTTCTGTCTGCACTTATTCTGAAAGGGCCCATGAGAGGCTGCTGAGGACATGATTAAAACCCAAACAGACCACTTGACAAGCACTATCGTGGCCATGCCTGACAGTGCCAAGGATAAAAGATCCAAACGCAGCCTTCCACCAACCCAAGACCTGCCATGGTGTGCTTGAAAATCACAGGAGGCAACAGTTTGGAAAGATTCTGGTCCTGCTCAGAAAGAACTGCAACCCCTGAAACTCTGCTTCACCCCCAGAGGAAAGAAGGGGAGACTGAGACTGCTGAGTTAACAACAGACTGTGCCCAGCAGGCTACAGGACTGAAGGAGAGAACTTAGCTCTGGAAGTCTCTGGGTCTGTGTGGCTTCTCAAACTTCACCTACTCCCTAATGGGGTTCCATCCAGATTAGGAAGAGCTCCAGAGCAAAGCACAACAAAACAAAAAAGTGTGTGTGTACGCACACATGAGGTATGTATATATGTACATAGATATGTATAACTACATATCTACACGAATGTGTGTAAATATATGTATTTGAACAAGTGTCACAAAACAACGCCACCTGCAATGTGTTACAGTATATTCTATTCTCAGCTAGTCTATTTCATTTTTTAAATGCTGGTCACAGCCCATTAAAATGATATCTCCATCCACTGAGGGCCGTAACCTCAGATTTTAAAACATAAATGTACGCCAAACCCTTTGGTTCACAGAGGAGAAAGATAAGACTCACTGAGGTCAAATTCAAGGTCCCAAGGCGACTTCCTGGCAGAGTCAGGACAGCTCAGAGCCAGGGACATGTGGGTTGTCATTAGTCTAATAATTAGAACTCAAGCCAATGAACTTTTCCTTTGTAAACCCTTCGTCTCCCCAGCATCACTAGCTCTACACCTGTTCCCTCTGTCCCCACTGTCTTGGATTTTGTGTGTGTGTGTGAGACGCTGGGAAGGTAACCCAGGCTCTCCTGCATGCTAGGCAAATGCTCAACCACTAAGCTAAAAAGAAAAACAAAATGATGAAGCTGGCTGAGTGAATCAATCTGGAAGACCTTAAAGAAGTGCGCGACTCAGCAGATCCAGACAAAGTAAATCCCTCAGGGTTTGGGGGTTGGGAAGGCCAGCATGTGAAAGCCAAGGACAGCCTCTCTCTCTCTCTCTCTCTCTCTCTCTCTCTCTCTCTCTCTCTCTCTCTCTCTCTCTCTCGCTTGGTCCCTAGCCTGGAGGTGAAAAAGACTGTGGCTGATCCCTCACTTCACGGTCCACGCAGGGAAGGGGTGAGGGAGGCACAGCGTGAAGCAAGCACCTCTCCCACCTGCCACAGTAGCAATATGCGCCCTCAGCCTTCCTGGGACTGCCCTGCATCCTTGCCTTCAGACCTCAGCAGCCCCCAGCTCCATGGCTCTCACAAAACCATGAAAATCAAACCCAGCTCTGATCAGAAAAGAATCTTTCCTCTGAAGTCCCAAGCCTTGTCTTCTATGTTACCAAGTTTGGTTTCACACAGAGGCTTGAATGACTTTCGAACACTTCATGTCTTCACTTCCTAATGGGAATCACTCTCTAAACAGGGCTTCTGACAAACCACAGCCCCGAGGTCAAACCCAACCAAGCATCTGCTTTTATAAATAAAGTTTTATTAGAACATAGTCAAGGCCATTTTTTTTTTTTGCCTATTGTCTATGGCTTCTTGGTTCTACAACAGCAGAACTGAGCAAATACAACAGAATACATGGCCCACAAAGCTGAAAATATTTGCCATCTAGCCCTTTACACAGAAAAAGTTTGCTAACTCCTGGTTTACAAGATCCTGCCTCTTTTCGTTTGTTTTCATTGTGGTAAAATTTACCATTTTAAGTGTGATTTCAGGAGCATTAAGAATACAACCATCCATCTCCAAAGCTTTTTCCTCATTCCAAACTACACATCTGGAACCAGAGGCGTGGCTCAGTAGCAGAGTGCCTGCCTAGGAAGCAGGAGGCCCTGAGTTCAAACCCCAGTACCGCCAGAGAGAGAGAGAGAGAGAAAAGAAAACAGGGTGAATTGTACTCCTATAAAACCAAACTAAATCTCTGCACCCATTAAATAATAATTCCTCATTTCTTCTTCCCCAGCCTCTGGAAACCACCATTCTACTTTCCATCTCTGTGGATTTGATTACTTAGGTAATGTAAATGGGGTTACACACTGTGTCCCTCTGTGTCTGGCTTCTTTCACTCAGCACCGTTTTCAAGGTTCATTCATGTTGCAGCAGGTGCCAGAAGTCCTTCCTTTCTAAGCCTGAAAATATTGTGCTGTGTGTGGCTAGCCACGTCTAGCCACCCACTCACCTGCTGACGGGCACTTGGGTTGTTCCCACCTACTGGCAGATACAACCTACCTGATGGTTCAGTCTCATCTCCAGCCACACCTGGCTCCTGAAGCCATGGGGACCTTCTGTCAACCCTCCCCCTCCCCAATGAGGGAAACCTTAGGGACAAAATACGTACTGTATTTTTAAAATCTCAGTAATAATATTTTCACACTGACACTATTTTTAAATGACAATATTTTGATATTTGGGGTTAAGTGACATGATAATATCACATGTGTCTTTTTATTCATCTTACTGTGGCTACTAGGAACTTTAAAGATGCTATGTAGCTCACACCCCTATTTCTAGGAACAGTACCATGCTGGACTTTTCCTGGAAAGGGCCAGTTGGTAATTATTTTTGACTTTGTGGGCCATATGCAACTCTGCCATTGTCGTAGGAGAACAGCCACAAACTATGTATAAGTGAATGAACCTGGGTGTGTGCCAGTATGTCTTATGTAGGAGAAAAGGCCACAGGTTTGATCCAGCCATGCTTGGCCAACCCATACTCCAAACTAGTACTAGCATTTGGGAAAATGTCCAATTCTGAGAAATTCTATCCTACTCCCTTTCTCAGAACCGAAAGGAGAATGATGGAGGGGGTGACTTCAAGTATGATATATTTGATACACTGTAAGAACTTTTGTAAATGCCACAATGTATACAATAATAAAAAAAAACGGACACAAACAATGAAGGACAGAATGTAAAACAGGTCGCATTAATGGAAGGTCATGGTGGGAGATGGAGGGTAAAGAAAGCGGGCAAAGGAGGGCGAAGGTGGCTGAGGTACTTTCTATGCAGGCGTGAACATGGAACATGGAAACCTGTTGAAATTACTTTAAGAAGGAAAAGGGGACTGGAGAGAGAATAATGGCAGGGATGACCCAAACTGGGGTCACATGTATATATGGAAATGTCACAATGAACTCCCCTGGAATAAAAGTATTTTAAATCAGAACCCTTGATGAAAAGCCACCTAGCTGGGAGACACAAGTCTGTCCCCAGCGTCCCCGACCTGAGTGGCTCCTGGGACCCCAGGACACCCGAGGCCCCCACGGTCCGATCGGCACTCACTTGGGCGTGTGGGCCTCGTCCACGCGGTGACCCAGCTGGAACTCGTGGGATTTGCTTCGGTGCAGCGCCGTGAACCCCGGAATCAGGTGGATTAGCTTGCGGGAGGAGGGCGGTGGGGTCCCCGGGGGCTTCAGCTTGTTCTTCCTCCTCATCGGTGGCGTGCCAGGCGGGGTGACCGTGGTCACGATGTTGGGCGTCCGCGGCGGGGTGCGCACTGCGTGCCGCTGCCGGGGCGAGGGGGGCAGGGAGCGGTGGCCCGACTCCAGGGGTGGTGGTGGGCACAAGCCTGGGTAGGGGTCCACAGTGAGCCTGTCCACATGCGTGTACACAGGGGCCCCAGGCGTGGGGCTGGTGTGACAGAAGTGCTGGCCACACTTGGTCTGGACCCTGGGGCTCTGGGAGAGGTGGGTGCGGACCCATGAGGTGGGCTCCGGGGGACACACGGGGTTGTTCTCCTTCCCGGTCTCCGTGGTGGGCCACTGGATGGTCCAGTCTTGCTTGGAGAGGTTGCCTCCTGAGTTGGAACAAAGGGGCAGAGAGTCAAGATAAGCTGGAGGAAGCCAGGTGACTTATGCTAAATGCACTGTTAAGTCTCCAAGCCATATTGCATGTCACTTAGACGCACCTTACAGCGTGGACATGTCACACCAGATGCATGTGAGCTCGTGCACCCACCACCTCATATGCCTGGTACATCATACAGTTAATTCATGTTACATCATAGGCAGATTTATAAAATTCACTCACTCCCAACAAAAAAACGAAATCCATTGGGTGCCACTGTTACCCTCCCACCTTTCCCCATTCAGCATCCTTGCCTTCCACTACCCCCAACCTGGGAGTCCACAGGCCAGAAAAGCAAAGAAGGTAGGTGATCCTGGCCTTTTTTTTTTTCTGGTATTGGGATTTGAACTCAGGGCCTCATCCTTGCTAGGCAGGCACTCTACCATTTGAGCCACTCCACCAGTCCTGTCTTGTGTTGGGTTTTATTGGACATAGGGTCTCACAAACTATTTGCCTCAGGCTGGCTTTGAACCTCGAACCTCCTAATCTCTGCTTCCTGAGTATCAAGGATTACAGGTGTGAGCACCAGTGGCCAGCGATCCTGTAATCCTAGCTACTTGGAAGGCTGAGATCAGAAGAGGGAGAGAGATGAGGAGGAGGATTGTGGTTGGAAGTCAGCCCTGGCAAATAGTTCACAAGACACCATCTCCAAAATAACCAGAGCAAAATGGACAGGAGGCATGGCTCGAGAGGTAGAGCGCCTGCTTTGCAAGTGCAAAGCCCTGAGTTCAAACTCCAGTCTCACCAAAAATATAAACTAAAATAAAAAACAGCTATAAGAGGGAATTTTGATTGTTCCCAGCACAAAACAATAATCAATGCTTAAGGTGGCAGATAAGCCAATTGCCCTGACCCAAGCATGGCATGTTATACACAGCTGTTGAAATGTCACAGTGTCCCCTAAGTATGTACAACAACTATGTGTTGATTGACAATTTTTAATAGGGGCTGGGGTATAGCTCAGTGGTAGGGTGCTTGCCTAGCACGCATCCAGCACTGAAAGAACAATTTGAATAAGTAAATAAAAAGAATGAGAGAGAGAGAGAGAGAGAGAGAGAGAGAGAGACTGACCACTGTCAAGGGAGGGAGAGCTGGCAGGACCTGGGAGAAGGTAGTCCAGCGGTGCTTCCATCATGGGCCAAAGATGTAGCCCAGAAGGAAATTCCACCTCAGATCAAGCAGCTTCACAATAATAATTACCGTAATGACCGTAACAGCAGCTAATTTCTAGTGCATTTGGCGGTTTACAAAGTGCTTTTGGGACTGCTGACTGCCCCATTGAACTCTTTTGTTATTATGTATTCATTACAGGCAGAATTAGACCATTCAGATAAGGGAAAGGCAATGGTGTTCTCTGGGCTGACTATCATAACCTAGAATTGTTTGACTGTGGAACCTTCCAGACGGTTTTCTTATGCACCTTTCTTTAAGAAAAAAGGAAATACCCTAAGACTTAATTTAATGATTTCTCATCTGCTTCCTGCACTTGTTCTAGTGACAATTTTTTCTGAAGTTTTGTGATTCCGGGTGAAAAGGGACATTTGGATCTCTATTGTGTAGCCTACTGGAGAGGCACAGAGATGAAGATGTGCCCAACGTCATAGCAGAGATGGTCACTGGCAGTTGGGACTTGAACCCAGGACCTCCGCCACCTCAACAACCAGAGCATATGTCCGTAACAGAGTCAGGACCTGCATTTGCGGAAGACCACGGCCCATTGTGAATCAGTCAGACGGAAACAGATGCCAGAGTGAGAGCTTAGTTCTCACAAGGCCTCCCTCTTCCCTCCTCCCAGACTTTCCAGAACATTCAGCCAAAGTCACGATCATTCTGATATCTACCTCAAATATGTGTGCATACACTTCAGCCCAGTGACAAAGAGTCAGCTCTGAAGTCAGATGACCTGAGCTCCAAACCTGGCTCCCTCACTGACTGGCTGTGTGACCGTGGGTGGTCCCCTGACCTCTCTGAATCTCGGGTTTATCACCTGTGAGATGGGAGAATAAGAGGACCTACCTTTGGGGCTATGACGACAATCAAACAGGATCACACAAGTAATGTGTTTAGCAGAGTTCTGGCCACAAAGTGGGTGCCCGTGGATGCTAACTCTGTAATTCTCAACGCTATGATCGTGTCAAAACCTTCTACTCAGGCTGGGCACCGGTGGCTCCTGCCTGTAATCCTCGCTATTCAGGAGGCAGAGATCAGGAGGATCGAGGTTCAAAGCCAGCCCAGGAAAATAGTTTGGGAGACCTATCTTGAAAACACCCATCACAAAAAAGGGCTGGTGGAGTGGCTCAAGGTGAAGTCCCTGAGTACGACAAAAAAAAACAAAAAAACTTCTACTCAAAAGTGGGGGTAGGGCTGATGGAGTAGCTCAAATGGTAGAGTGCCTGCCTAGCAAGCATAAGGTCCCAAGTTCAAACCCCATTACCACCAAAAAAACCCTAAAAAAACAAAACAACAACAAAAGTGGGGGTAGACCAGAGAAGGTTTGGGGGTAGGGGTAGAACAGAAACCCAGACAGTTTCTCTGTCACCCAGAAAGCTCTTGTGTTGACACATTTGCTCAAGGAATATAAGCTCATTGTCAAAGTAGCCTATGCAGAATATATTTAAGAGGGAAAATCTGTTGGTTTTTTTATAAGCTACTTTTCACATCTACTGTGAGTGTTTTCAAAATAGCCTTTGCCCTCCCTGAGTGAAATGGAAAGACTATGGGGTTTGGAATCAGAGCTGTGTGACTTTGGGCAAGCTGCTTAACCCCTCTGAACCTCAGCTGTGGGGTTCATGAAATGGGACTGCTCATGGCTTCAGTGGAGGGTGGATTTGAACACCTTTCATGCACAAGGTGCTGTTTAGGCACTGGGAGTATTTCCCAGAACCAGCTGCAAGCTCCAGGCTTGGACCCCAGCTCCCTGGTCATGCCACAGAGGGGTTGGTACTCCTCCAGCCATGGTTAGTGGTGAGACAGGAGCCAAGTTTCTTTGGAGCCAGGGCAGGGCTGGCTCTCCCACGGCCAGTGTGAAAAGTGACTCAGGAATGGCGGCCAAGGATCAGCCTGTGGTGTTGCTGTTGTGTCAGCCCCAGCCACACCTGATTCTTCCTGATCAGGTGGCTTAAAAGCCACACAGCCTGATAGATGGGGTCCCTTTCCTAGAATTTGCCATTAGGTCCTCCCTAGAGCGCAGTACACTGACCCACAGTGGGCAATGTGGGGGGACGGGGACAGGGTGGGGGGGCGCTATACACCTGCCACTCCTCCCGATCTGTGTCATGAAAGACTGCCTGGGCACAACCTTGCTGTGAGACACTGTCGGCTGTGCATGGTGAAAACTGGATGATTGTGGTACACTGGGCAGAGCCAAGGTCCAAGGTGCCCGGGTGGCATCTGGCTGAAGATGGTGAGGACTGACGGAGAGAAAGGCATTCATTGGAGATAAGGGGAGAAAGAAAAATAGCTAACATCCATGGAGAACTTTCTATGAGCTTGACATTGTCATTCTAAGTAATTTACAGGTAAGAAGTCATATGACCACACAGTCATCCTATGAGGTTGGCAAAAATGATTATTTTATAGATGAGAAGAAGGAGCCATAGAGAGGTTAAGTGGCTTGTTTGAGGTCACACAGCAGGGAAAAAGGAGAGCTGGGCTTTGAGGGAGCCCATACCCTAAACCATGATGCTAAGCCCAGACTGGTGTCTTGGTTGCTAGCTGGCTCCACAACGGCTGGGGGCTCTGATCACAGCAACAGAAAACACAGCAAATGGAAACTGAACCCAGAACAGGTGACCGAGTCTGACAAAACACCTAGGGGAAGATGCCCCTCACCTTCCCCTTCTCCCCAGACACTGAGGGGCTCCTCCCCAAGAGAAGGGCACACTTGTCTAGCCTGAAAGGATGGATCATGACATTTTAAAATGTCCCAAGTCTATCCAAGACAGTGTCAGGCTCTGCTCAGATTTCTTTTTACAAAGACACGACATGATTTAATCACGTTTGCTTCTGTCTCCTCTTGCTGTCTGATCTGAATCTCTAGAGCAGACATCCCATGACCCCGAATCACATGCAGGTCAGGGAAGGTCACCCACCACCTGATTCCCTCCAGAGCTGGCATCAGAAGACTTTTTGTCAGGACAGCAAGGACAAGAATTCATTCTAACTCAACAAGAAGTGAGGATGTGGGGGATTTCTCATGCACAGGACACCCCAACCTTTGCAACATGGCACTGAGCATGGTGGCATGTGCCTATAATCCCAGCAACTCAGGAGGTGGAGGTGGGAGGATCAAGGTTCAAGCCCAACCCTGGGCAAAGTCTGCTTGAGACCCCATCTGAAAAAGCATACTAAAAGCAAAAGGGCTGGCTGCGTGGCTCAGGTGGTAGAACACTTGCTTAGCGAGCACAAGCACGTGAGTTCAAGTCTCAGTACCTGGAAAAAATATTAACTTGTCCTCACTATGACTTGGCTTCCTCACTTGTAAAATGGAGATAACAGAGCTTTCCCCCAAGTCTGTCCTGAAGGTTCAGTGTGACCAGGTAGCAAGGGTGTTAGCTTAATCCCTGGCACACAGCCAATGCTGCACAAATGTTTGTGTAAACCAGAGGTAAAGCCATCTGGCTCACATGGCGATGAAATAAGAGTGCAAAATGCCCTGCCTTGAGCCCAACACAGAGCCAGCACTGGAAAATCATTCATCTTTATCCCTGGTCCTGCCAGGTTCTACCCCTGCCCCTCTGAAAGAAAACCTGTAGTATCAGAAGCCCTGGTTGGGTGTTGAATTGTGCCCCCCATATCCTATTTGCAAATAGGGTCTTTGCATATGTAATTAAGTTAAGATGACATCATAACAGAGAAGGGTATTTCCTAAATCCAGTCACTGGGGTCCTTAGAAGAGGAGAGGAAGCTAGGTGTGGTGGTTCATGCCTGTAGTTCCAGCACTTGGGAGGC